GAGCTTTCTTTTTTACATTTATCGATTTTATCCCAAATGAAAACGACAATAATTTTTAGTGATGGTAATAGCATTGAGTGGGGTCCCATTCGGTCTGTAATCATACGAGTGATGACAAAATCAGACGACCGCACAGCTGGAGACCGATTTGTTTATCACTTGTATGATTACAGACCAAATTGGACGACACGAAGTCTTATTATCAATTAATCATAAAAATTAGAATTTCGGAGAAAAGAAGAAGAGTCAAGTTGTCGTTATCGTCTGCAACAAACCATTTTGCAATCTTGAATGTATCAAGGGCAGTTTCGTTTCTTTGAAAGGAAATTTCATCAAAAAGTGAAAAGATCATAAATTCTGTTGAGTTTCAGCTTGATCTTCGAACGTTTTGAGAATTATTTAATTATTCTCGGCCTTTCAAGCTTACCAACAGCCCAAAGTTGTAAAAGGGATTTGAAAAGCAGACTTCTCCTCTAATTTGGTTTGTTTCTGTATTCATTTTTTTTTCTTCGTCAAGCAAGAACTTGTCATGTAATATTTAAGCTGGGTTACAAATAATGGAATATGCTTCTGCGAGGCTGATGACCCATCAAAGTTTGCGATTAAAAAAAATCCCTAATTTATTACTTAAAATGTACCTTAAAATTCATGTTATGTTGAATAAAAGTCAACGTTTACTTTATGTAAAACTTTTTGTCCAGCGAGAATAAACCTGCACGTGACATCCTCCTTCATATCTCAAGACATTTTCAACCAAATTAATTCTTGAATGTTATCAATATCTCCCTTTGCTTTCGAATAGTCCTTTTCACAGATGTGTATTTAGTTGCCAAGCCTTTGATTTGGAGTGACGCTGAAGGTGACCTTGTTGTGATAGAGACCAGTATCTAGTTAGCATGATAACAAAGTAATTTGCATTTGAAAAGCAGCAAGGTTTTTATCATAACAAGGTCAACCTTAGCCTCACTCCTGTTTAAAGGCTTGGCAACCAAGCACACAATTGTAAAATGAACTATTAACGATTTTCCTCGCCTATTAATGATTCTTCGCTGAACCTTGGTCTTATCACCTGAGTGGATGATATGAATCGGCCACAGTAAAGAACTCTGCTGCTGACGTTTCGAGCGCAAGCCCCTCGTCGAGAGAATGGAGGAATCGTGGAAAGTGTGTGATTTATATGCAAAAAAATTGAGTTATGCTATTGGTGGGAACATGGTAACGTGAAATACACATGATGTTTTCGTTAAATGAAAAGTGTTTGCTGATATCGTGGGATTATGAATGCCGATTTGAAAGATAAATTTTTAATTATTCTAGAGTTTTACCTGCCATATCTGGCTTGTAAAGATTTTGGAGATTAAGGCCAAGGCCGAGGCCAAGCATGTGTTTGAATATTAAGAAGCATCAGATTTCATGTCTTTCGTTCTCTTTCAATAAAAAGAAAATCAATATATTTTCCGCTCCCAAGTCTTTTAGGTCGTGTAAAAGTTTAATATTTTTTATTTCATAAACACTAAAACTTAAAATTTTGTTTTGCCCAACTTATAACTGTAACTGACAGTTAAATGTGAGCAAAAACGATCAATTGAGGGATAAGAATAGATAAATTGGGTTTTAAAGACGTGAAGCATGCGAATAAGAATTCTTGGCTGCAATCGGGAGCCAAAATTATAGTTATACTCTAATTCGCTACTCCGCTCAAACGAATATAAAACATTTATCATGTAATAAGCTACCATAGTTGGGATGTGTCAACACGAGCTGTGTGCGACCCTCTTTATTATGTCTTGCACGAATAATTAGAGAAACTCTTAAAGACTCAAAATACAACAACCGAACAACTAATAATACAATTAACGCACTGACTCACGCATAATCTTTGTAAATATGTATATGGAAACTGACGGCAAGGTTACAGAAACTCTGAAAGGCTCCTAATACAGCAAGCCAACGACTGATAATACAATAAACGCACTGACTCTTATGCATACTCTTTGTAAATATGTTTATAAAAACTGACAGCCCTCACTGAGTATTGAGTATTTAATTTTGAGGGCGCAGAGACATTCGTATGATGCGAATGAATATGAATGAAAGCAACGCTGTATATTTACAAACTCTCTGCTAATAAAGCAGTTGTCACGACATATACCATGCAACACCCCACACAATAGGTTACGTAACCCATGTGAATTCATATGCTGTCAAGTCCAAAAAGGCTAATTTACATGAATGCAGGCAATACCAATTAAGCCTGCCATTTAAGAAAGAGGTCTATGATTGAATAGATTAATAAAGGAAATAGATTTTTAAGATTATTAATCATGAAGAGATAGGAACTATATCTGAAGTTGTAATATACAGAACGCATCACAAGCCGCATTGATAAATTGTACTTTTGGCACAGTTTTAACCAAAGACAAACTGTGATAGTCATAGTTCGCAGAGGGTAAATCTTTTAACGAACGTGTTAGAAAATGTGTATGTCTTTGTATTATTTTCAATAAAAATAGAAAAAGTCGAACTTATCACTTATAACTGTATCTATTGCCAAAAGCAATGTCTTGGTTAAAGGATTGGTTACCTCGCAAAAATCAGTACCAAACCATGACGAATGCCCTCGAGTTTATCCTCAATTTGATTAAAGAAAACACATTACCCGTACTTTGCAAAGGAGTATTTCTTCATCATTTCATTTGCACCGCATTTCATTAAAAGAAAAATAACATACTCTTACGACAGAGCATGTATAAGAAGACAGCGTGTTATAATACATCCTTCTCCGTCCTCGGGATGACTTCTAAAAGCTTTGGTTTCCAGCTCAAACCGGGTAGAAATGAGAACCTTCCAGAATGGACTGATTTGTTGTTAGCGCGGACAGGGCCTGGTTCACATATTGCAGGTGTCAAAATGTTACCTGACGAACGCTATCTAGGGAGATCACGTTCTTCAAAAGTCGATAAATACTTCTTCAACCCACAATCTTCCCTTAATTGCGCCATTGAAAGCGTTGGAAAGATCTGTCAATTGGCTTCACACTCTTCAAAGCGCCCCATAGAACAAACGCAACCTTTTGACACGATAGTTTTCACCTACTTTTCAACACTGGCATGTACGAGAGAAATGGTGCGTAGTTGTTGCTTTATCTTTAACAGTGAAAAAATGATTGAAAATCGTACCCGTTGGAAATATGATCTAAGCAACATTATATCAAACTTGATCGAGATTAAGAACCACAGTATACACCCAAAATCAATTTCACAGTGCACCCCTAATTACACTTTTGTAATCCTTTGAATAGTTCACCAAATGACTTCACCTTTTCTCACACATGCAACCAAAGGAACTAAAAAATTTTTTGGTAGAAAAGTTACCATTCACTCATTAATGATTCCCACAAAAGAATTGTTAGGAAAATTTTTTATTTTATCGTTAGCAACTGAAGAAATGTAGAGGTGTGTTTTCCTTTTTATTAACGATCGTGGTTATGCGTCAAAGAGATCCTATTTTTCTTTTATTCACGCATTGATTTGCATTTCTGACCCTGTAATTATCGACATTATAAATCTCATCATCTCTCCCCGTCCCACTTCAATTCACTTGCAGGCCAAGTGCAGAGCGTTTCCCAAGGTACGATCAATCTTGGTATATTTTTATCGCAGATAAAAAGGATAACAATCCATTAAGTGCTAAAACGAAACTTAAAAAAACTCTCTTTGGATTTTTAAAACTGAGAGTGTCCTTCCTCATTAAGAAGGTGTTATTGTATACTTTACAACTTTTAACTAGCTCTTATTTCTAAAATTTCAGTAATCTGTCGTCGCAATTTAGTTCACGACTGTTGCGGGCCAAGTACCGTACGTTTACAAGGTGGGATTAGTTTTCTCCTTTTAATTTTTTTTATTTTAGCTTCTTTAGATGCTTCACAAGATCTTCACTTAAAGGAGTCTTGAATTTTATCTCAAACAAATCTTTATTCTTAACCTCTAGTTGCAAAGTTTCGATGAATTTGGATCTTGAAACTCAACGTGCCTAGTTGCGGAAAAAATAACCAAACCTGATAAAATTGACATAGAGATTACGAATATGCGTCATTTTGGAGTAAAAATGAAAATACCGTCACCATTTGAAAAAAAAATTAGGCTTTTACTTTCACTTTTTTCTTCGTTTGCATGTCTTGATGGATTCTGTGAATAAAAACCCCTGTGTCAAGTACGATATCTATCAATTAAAGAGCTTTTCAATTTATTTTAGAACGATAATTGTAAAGGCTGAAAAGCTTGTGGGGTCATTTATCCAAGATCTGATGTGCTATTGATTTATGAAAGTTTTTAATTTGTCTAAAACCTAAGAAACACAGCCATCTCGAGACACGTAAAATTAACTAAATTTCAAGCGAATTACAGTAATTCAAAGGTTTAACCTAACAGGTGATATGTGCAAAAAAATCAATTGATCTCAAATTGCATATGGATGCAGGCGTCACTTAGAAAGTAAACATTTATCGTTTTTCTTAGTTCAGATTCTACAGTTACAGGAAATGTTTCGTTAAATTTGTTGATATCAAAATTGCGGGAAAAAATTGGAATTACAATGCTCAGTTTTGAAATGATAAATTTACAAAAACGACTTCAGTTGTCAGGGAAACATCCAATTAAACACGACTGTCACAATATAGAAATAGTTAATGCATACTCCATTTATCAGCGTTATCATTATTATAATTTTTCTTTCACCTTTGGGGTTTTATTAAGTTTTCCTAGAAATCGATACAATTCTAATACTTATTTCCATTACAGTAGATTAGAACACATTTCTTTGTTAACAATTCGGTAAAGATAAAAACATTAATGATATGGGAGGGACTCTTGGTTTTATCGCTCAGAGACGCTTTGAGGTGAAGGTGGAACGACGCATGGCAAAGTGAAAATGTGTGAAGCCAGTTTAAAAAAATCTTTCCATTTACGCATTTTTTTTTCAAATATTCAGATATTCTTAAGATGATTTCCATTTTGTTCATTGGCCTGTACCTCGTCACGTTTCAAGTGACGTGTGAGGGCGCCCCAGGTCCAAAAATTATTATACAGAACGACGTCGAGAAAAGAGCCAGTGAGTATATTTCAATTCTTGCCTATATATACACATCGTGATTGATTGAACCTTCCTTAAAACTGCTTTGAGTCAAGTGACAAGACCTTAACTATAAATTTTTGATTGGGGGGAAGCCTTCTGGATTTTTTTCATTTCCGCTTTAAGGAAATTGAGCTCTATCAGATTATTTGACGAAAAAATCACGAGAACTTAGTTACCACCGAGATTGCTTAGCACTTGCACCCTTTGTGTTTCATGTTTTCTTAATACGTAAAAGATGATTTGCAGTTTATATTTTCTTGCAGTTTGTGCTGAAAACCAAATGGACAAAAGTAGTGGCTGTCCACAGTGGAAAGGCAAAGGATTTTGTTCTCAGGATAGTAAATACTATCAATTTATGATGGGAAACTGCTACGCAAGTTGTGGCCGTTGCCAGCGTAAGTAAAATCATATTCTAAGACATAGTCAAACACAGACAACTAACTTTACAGTCATGAAGATGCTGGAATGTAATGTTAGTTCGGTGATATGAAGATAAGAAACTAATGAAGTAAATCGGAATTTAGAACTTATTTCGCCCCAAATGTCACCGTCGCATGTTTTAAAATCAACAAACTTTCTTTTGCAGTGCCTCCAACGGAAGCACCGAAAGGTGAAAATTTACTATTTTATAATAACTATTATGTAATAAACATTTTTACAAAAGAAGTTTTTAAGTCTTTAAGATCAAACTAGAATAGAACCAAACTAGAACAAAATCAAACTATCTAACATGGAGGGACGGGCATGTCCATATAACCACAGGTATAAGCTTACAACGGACAGGCATTCAAGGGCCAAAAGGCAATTAGGCTCGCCTGTTAATAAGATTTCAGAGCAGTCGATGTGTGGTATGAGAAACGACTTCCAGCGCCCACACCAATCCCACAAGGATCAAACTAGAATAGATCCAGCTAAAAGACAGTCAAACGGGCAGATTGATAGACGGACATACAGAGAGACAAATGGCTTACTCTGGAGATACATCACACTGAGCTAGACAGACATTATGGATGACTAACAGTCACTCAAATACCACACGCTGCAGATTTAAAGGCAGTCGAACACAGCATGGAACAGGTCTTGTGTGATGGCCTCCCGTTGCAGGACTATAAATTCTTGAACAAAGGTTGAATAAGGGCAGACGGAATAAACTAACGTATTTTATTTATTTTGATAAACATTGTTTTTATCTCCAACTACGAAGTGGACCCAGATGCCTGCCTGCAGGCCCATAATGAAAAGCGGGCTCTTCATGGAGCCCCAGCTTTGGTGTGGGATAACAAACTGGCTCAGGATGCAAAGAACTGGGCAGATCACTTGGCTTCTACTGGACGCCTAGTCCACGCTAAAAACATTGCCGAAGGAGAAAACCTGTACTCAGGCTCGAGCGGATTTGTCAAATCCTGTTCAGATGCCGTAAAGTCTTGGTAGGCATAGCTGCGTAAAAAAGGGTATACCAGGGAAATTTATCACAAATTTAGTATTATCGACAGATTATGAGTAGCAACTAATCAAAATGCACGTAAATTTAAATAGTTGGAGCTCAGGATATCTTGAAGTGTGATCTTTTAGAGTGAGAGCAGTTCTAAAACGGAATATTGTCAGTGACAGTGATCTAACTCTCAATACTTTGAACGGAAGTCATCATGAAGGTCAAAATAAGAACCAAGTTTTTTAATTAACCTCGATGAACATTTTCCACAAGTCTTTTTATAATCCTTGAAGACATGAGGAAAAGAAATCGTCGTGCGATCTTTTTCAGGAGAACACGAATATGGATGAATACATTAGGATAATGGGAACGTATAGGATACTTAGCCTCTAATAGGGTGCCTTCGCCTCCCTCCTGTCCACACAAAACCCCGCAGTAACATTAGATAAATTGAATGAGATAAATCACCTACATCAAGCAGTGACGCTTCCAGCCAATGGCTTTTAGAGCTTTTAGAACATTGATTTCAATCGAAATTGTACTTTAAAGTGTTGGTTTTTTATTGAGGAAAGAAACCAAAGAACCCAGAGAAAAACCCCTCAGAGGACAGATGAGATTCAACAGCAACCTCAACCCACGCGTGACGTTAGTTGTTGGAATCAAACCAAGAGTGCACGTACCCTAACCCCAATGCGCTCCTGTTCTCCCTCCCCCTCCCCCCCTCCCAGCCCGAAAATGTTAGTATCGCCACTTGTTGCTCCACATTTGATTTTTTAAGCTCATAGGCAATTCCATCATGACATTGTCATAGCCGAGTTGTTTACGATTACATCCTGTCCTTTAACTGACATTTGCTTTATGTTGACTTTCCAAATCCTGAAGTAAACCGATTTTATTTTGTTCATTGGTAGGTACAATGAAATAAAGTTTTATGACTTCGATAATCCAGGATTTAGTTTCGCTACTGGACATTTCACAGCGGTAAGAATAAGACTCATCACCGGTGTCTGAGCACCTTAATTTCTCATCAAGATCGGAGAGGAATTTCCCATCCATTTTTCATATGTGTTGGTTACACTAAAACTCAAAATTACGACGCTGTTTCAGTAATTTGATAACTTATTTGATCAAAAATCTAATCATAACATATTTATCAATCGGGAGTTTCTTTGGTACCTTAAAATTGGCCCATGACCGTTACGGAGTAGTGGCGTTGACTTAAGAAAAAATCGTACGTGGGCCAATTGCAGTGCAACCAGGGGCTGGAATTTTTCCGACATGGTAATGGCTTCGCTTTACTTGGCTCTTTACAAAGCTTCGATGTACCATCCTCCCAAACAATCTTGATTTGCTCACCCACATTTTTCATGGCATCAGATATGTAGTCATCTTTTTTTAATTTTATTTCTCATCGGCTATAATTCTCATCCTAGTGCTGATTGTAATAAGCTGTTGCCATTACTACTTTCGTTTACGGTAATGATAATTGTAAAAATAATCATAATAACAATAGTAATGTTTATTAGAACATATTTCACGTGGTGGCTCTTCTTGTCCACTGTTTCAGGATCAAACTGGAATTTTTAATGTTGGAGAAAAACCCTTAGGGTAAGGACGAGAACCAACTAACTTAATCCACTTTCGACGCCAGGTCCAGAAATCAAACTTGGGCCACAGCAGTGAGGGGCGAGAACTCTCACCATTGCAACATCCCCGCCTCCTGCAGCTAAATGACCCGTAATCGTATAGCTTTCCTGGTGAAGAAGAAGGATATGCACTTCAAAGCCAAATGTACGTTTACTTATTGTCAATGCTGCTTTCAGGTTGTATGGAAGAGCACCACCAAACTGGGCGCAGCTTTGACCAAAATAGTGTCAGATAACGGAATCACTCACACATATGTTGTGGCACGCTATTCGCCCGCAGGAAATGTGATTGGCCGTTTTGCTGCAAACGTCAAGCCAAAGTCCTCATAGGTTTGTATATCTCTTAGTATGTGGTAACGACGTAGCTATATCCACGTCTTACGAGCCGGGTAACAATGGACAAACTTCGAGTTAGTCAGAGCAAAAAAAAATATTTTGGTGAAAAAAGCTGAAAAATTCACCACACAATGACATTATTGTCTTTCTCCAATTTCATCGGTTACTGTAAGTAAGCCTTTTTTAAAAAGCCTTGATAAATTATTGATTTGTTCTTGCTTTCTTATTGGCTACAAAAGAGATACGATTTTTTGGGTTAGTCTCAGTAGCCTTGCTGCAACGATATCTTTTTTTGCCAACATCTTGTGAGGCACCCACACTTTCCAGAGATATATATAATGATGATAAAATGCTGTTTTGTTTTTCATTTTTTAGAACCCAGCCGTGAGCTGAGAAATAATTGGATATCACTGAGTATGTCAAAGAAAAATAATCTGTGATGGTTACAGACGAAAATTTGAATAAAACTTAGTTCCGAGGGGGTTGTACAAATATCGTTTCCTCTTTTTATTGTCAGAAAACGATCCAGCTTACAAACAAACTTTGGAAATTTTATGTCCTACAGAAATTTTACAGCAAATTCACTTCTCCCTTAATACCCTTATAGCCTACCGATCGAACAATTTTGGCCAATTTTTCTTCATCAGTGATACCAACGATGCCAACCTCTCCCATTCCTGCTCGTCTAAGGACTACAGCGCTCATTCTGTTGTCTTCCAAAGTGCAACGGTGGATAATTTCGCTTTAACGTGCAATTTGATGCCAGACTATTTTTGAAAAAAAATTTACTTAACCGAGAATTCCAAACTATAGGTCTATTCGGAAAAAAAATAGAATAAGCAAGCTATGTAATGATATGCAAGTATACGTCTCCTTGCGGCGATATCTTTACCCTAATGATCTTGTCTGTGCCACATTTCACTGAAACAATTATTTTGGTGAAAAAATAAACGAACATCACCGCTATTGTAATTATGAGTGGTTCAACAAATGAATTTGACCAATCAAATCCATTAGACAAACAGCTGAAACAACATCCATTTACAACCTCGAAAACACGATATGGATAAATTTGCGCTCAAAAATTGGCGACACAAATGTCAGATAGGACAACTTTATCTTTATGAGAGAAGGCGAGCGGATCGGCTAAAAACAGGAATTCTTCAGTTTTATGTAGGCTTCAGGTTCAGGTTTATTTATATTTTTGTTTGTGACAACGATGATATCGACTACCATTTCTACACAATATTATACACTTGATATTTCCCCCAGGGAAATAGTTAGTTTTGTTTCCCTTAGACTCTTAATATTTCCTGGGATACTTTTCAATCATTGTTATGCTGGATCAGGTGATCACTATTCAGCCAATCACTATCGTCTTCAAAACAAAGGAAACCGCAAGAGCCCAACGACGTAAATAATTAACGGCAAGAAATGTAGGTGTAGTAGAGCGCCCTATTGCCATAATTGTCTGCAACTACTGCTTCCTTCTTTTCTTTCTCCTCAATTTTTGTTTAGACACCCAAAATTTACAAATTTTTTACAAATTTTCTCATACAAACTCTTAAAAATTTTCAGCCTTATTTTAGAAGCGATCTTTATAAAAGTAGATAATTTCACATTCGAGATAATTGTTTAAAAGTTTGTACTTTGGTAGAGGGCTTCTCATGTTCTCAGCTTGCATTGCCATGGCATATAAATTAAAATTTAAATGAACTTCATTGTTTCACGCTTTAATTAAGGGGTGACCACTCTGGACAGGTAGATAAAAATTGCGAGATAGTCAGGTCAGTTGCAAATTAACACTAATGTAGCCCGCTTACTTAGAAATTCAAATCAGTGCTATGTATTTCGATCAGTTCATAACATTAAACCTCAGCGTCAACTTAAGAAGAAAGACCTTGCAAATATGACACATGCCTTTCAGTTTGTGTTTATATGATGTGACAAACAAAGCGTCGAATTATCTTTCATAAATCCTTTCCTATCGAGTGAAATAATATACCCCAATAAGTCATTGGCAACTCTTCTGAACGGTGCTCGAGAAAAAAAATGCATAAAAATTGATTGCTTGAAAGAAAAATGTTTTGGTATACGACAGTGAGTGAAACTAGTAATTGACAACAAGTTAATTACTTTTTGTGCTCTGGGAGCTACGCATCACGTAGTCCAGTTTCATAGAAATTTAAACCATTTATCAGTAGAGTCGTGTTGTGATGTTTTGAAATCATATACTCCAATAAGTCATTGGCAACTCCCCTGAACCGTGCTCCAGAAAAAAAAATGCATAAAAATTTACTGCTCCAAAGAAAAATGTTTTGGTAAACGACAGTGAGTGGAATTAGTAATCGACAACAAGTTAATTACTTTTTGTGCTCTGGGAGCTACGCATCTGCTTTCAGAACTTCGAAGAGGCAGGTTGCCAATTAAAATCACGTTTGAGACCTCACATGTTTATTGATTAATGAGAAGAAAGTTAAAAGGAAGTCAATTGAATTTTAATGACCGGCTGCAGTAGCAGCGCACAGACCTTCAGACAGCAAGCATAACCAGTTAACCCAACAAGAAAGAGAAAGAATCGCAGGTATGTCTACTTTTATAAATTGACGTTGATCATGAGTTTCTGACAACAACTATGCTTTTCGCATGAAGATATATCGTATCGTTGCACCTATTTCTGGGAATTTTTAAACATAGATTGATTTTAAAACTAAGAAACGGAGACATTGGATACTTTCTCCTTATGAGTGTAGATAGGTCGTCGCTTAGAATTATGCGAGTGCCCATCGAGTACCTTCAAAACAAAGTAAATCTGAAGTTTTCTAGATAAGTTTTCGTTCTCGTTTAACTGTGTACTATCGTGTGGTTCATTTTTACAGTTCTAGAAAGGCGTTCAGGTTTGTATTAAGACAACGATTTACAATTGTAGAGAGAAGACTAAAACTGATAACGATTGCAGAAACGTTATCTCGTGAAAACTTTGAACTGAAAAGTGTGTTACAAGGACAGGCGTTTCAGGATGAAGTCCTGTAAGTTTAGAACTCCTTGCTTCACAAGTGTCTAGTTTCCTTTACGCTAAACGATATTACATGCAGGCCAACAGTTAAATAGACTAAACAAAACGTTGGATCAGGTCTTAAAAGCGGAATCAAGAACCTTATACCTTTCCCTTTCGCAAGGTCAAACCGTGTTCACAACGATTGGGACGGTATAGCTATCACTGTTTACGATTTCAATTTTGGTGTAAATTGACTGATAACACTTTCGAAAGAAGAGCGCTGTACAATATATCCAATACATTAATGAGGTACATTATCGTTTTTCGTCAAAGTACCGAAACCAATGTTAATGCATGGCATACACATTTTGTACATCATCATAAGTGACGTTGATTATTGAGATGCGTGCATTCTTATCGGTCGAGCTCGGATCTGAAAGAAGCCTTTAAACGAACATTTTAATTCTCAAGAAGCTGCCAAGCACATTAAGTGTGTTTCGTTCCTTAATCAATGGAAAAGTCATCACAGGAAGAATGTAAACAAATAGTCTTTATTAAGCCGGCGGCTCGTGTTGTTCGCAAATTAAAAGTGTTGTAAATTTAGAACGGACAATAACACAGCCTAAAGGTAAGAAAATTGACTTCTCATCTATTTTGTGCCAGTTTTTTCTCTTTTTTTATCACTATTTTTCTTGTTATGTCATGGAAAAAACGAACAGAGAATTGATGTTAAATTAACTTGCATAACTCACATAAGGCTGCAACCAACGAAAAAGGAAAGAGGTTTCTGTGGGAATATCGTTGCAATAACAAGAAGAGACCGATATAACGTCCCCCCCCAAAAAAAAAAACAAACAAACAAACAAAACAAAAATCTTTAATCAAACGTGGGAAAGCCTCTTCGACTGTGGCGGATTTTCAAAGAATATTGGTGTATTGCTCCAGGCTAGGGCGAATTATAATAAACACCCGCCAGTGGGTAATGGAACATTGTCAAATAATTGTTTCGACTCCTTCCCGGAATAATTAACTAAAATTATTTTGAGCGAGTATTTTTCAGGTATTTTAATCTTTCTCTTCTTATTTTTTTTGTTCCGGCCGCCAGCGGGGAGTTTGATTCAAGGAAAAAGATAAAGCCGGCTGATCTTTCCTCCTCGACTCGCTAACTGTCTGATGAACTAAATCGAGAGACCTGCATGGTATGAATGTATCGATTTAAGCTATAAATGAAGTTTGCTTAAAGAAATTCTGCATTTTAATGAGCTGTAATGGTTATGATGTTTTACATCATTGGGTGCATTAATAGTAAACGAGTACACTCCTTGTATTCTCTCTTGGAGTTAAGAAATAAGAGGTGTTGATTTTTACAAATTTTGACTATTGGTGCTTACACACCGTCCTTATAGTGTAGACGAATCTTATTGGGTTGCCAGTTGCTAAATTGCAGTTTATTACGAATGCATCTTGCCAAACAATTATCATATTTAGAACAGGTAAATGAAATTTATTTAATTTCCCATTGAAAAAAGACGGAGATAGAAATCACTTAGAAGGAGGCTGAACTCGCTTTGCGAAAATGAAAGCATAGGACAAATGCACGAAGTGCTTTTGAAGTGGTTTGGACGAGATAGATTCTTACCTACCGGCCATCTCTAAGGTAAAAGAATAAGTACATAGCAAGCCGGCTTTTTCATTGCCATGCCTTTTGCATGCACATTTAATCGCTGCTATACTAAGTTACTCGAAAAAAAAGGAACTCTCGCTGCGATTTTTCTTATTCTGGCGATATCGCTGTGCATTTACAAAAAGGCTTCAGCGGTTTAGTCTTAAAAGTTGATCATCTTTTTAAATCTAAAATTGCGCTATGTGCTGTCACATAATATGTGACAACACAGAACTTTTTCATATTATCCTTGTGTCGAAGCCATATGAGACCCATCAACCCCCAGGGCTGGACGTTAAAAGGAGTTAGAGGGCCATTATGTAAACATTTATAACATAATTAGAAAGTGCTCGGTTCTGACAAAAACAAAACGATTTTGAAAAGTTATGTGCAAACCAGTTGTAATGAATTCGGATTGGCCCTCTGTTAACAGTCCTGGGATTTCGAGGTAAGCTTTCTAGATATTTTGTAATTTTTGTGATTTTTTAATGTTATATTTAACGAGACAAAATACAAGCGTCATATTTCGATAAACAATCCTCTCAATGTATGGTCTTTTTGTTTCTCAACGGAATATCGTAGTTATTTTCATGCGAACGTTTAACTGAATTTGGGAATATTTTATTCGTTCGTGTGCTGAGTTTAAAGCTTCCCAACAAGATATTTTAATTAAATATTCCAATATAGGCAAGCTGACAACCCCCCGCTGTTTCAAAAACCGATTATGGAAATAGGTGAATTGGTCAAAATGCACTGAAATTATTCCTCTAATACCCTTCAAAAATTGAGAAAAAGATTCGTGTGCTCAGCAAAAAGTAATTTTACATGTTGGCAATCTTTGCAGGCTTTTAACAATGCAATAGAATCTTCTTATAAATAAGGCTCCATGTTTCACTTGACGCCAATCACCCCAAAGAGCATACTGTAACCATGAATGAGCAAGAGCAAAGAAGAATTTGCTGCTGAGCAATAAGCACTTAACTCTGTGTCGAGGACTTCATCATAAAGGTGATATTTCATTGTTATAAGTAGCGACCGAGCACCTTATCGAAAATACAAAAAATAATTATGGTCAAAGTTAGGTATATTAATGAAGAATCATTATGTAAACACATCTTCTTTTTGCATAAATTATTTCAAAACATTAATTTTTTTTTTAAGGAACGAACAATGAATCATAAAACAAATTTGATAATATTTACAGTGTTTCTCTCAAGTTATTCGTGTTCAACTCCATCACAACATGATAATAACTCGAATTCGCCTGAATAAGTGTCTTGTAGCTTTCTCCCGTCGAGTATGAGTCAAAATTGTCCATAATCACCTAAAATTCCCTTGAAGTGTCTCCCTGTGCCATCCGTCGATAGTGTTTTTCTTTTTAAATTACTGCAAGTAGCTTTAATTGTGCATTTTTCTTTTAGAGCACTGAAGTAATACAATCTTAATTATCCTTGTTTATAATACTTTCATGTACACGTGAAACGATGTGCTGCAAGTTAGTTATTCAAAACAGTAAGCCGTGTTTTTGGGGAAAAAAAAGCACTTTGTCAATTTACCAGTGATGCTCGAAAACATGACGTGGGAGTTGAGTTTAAGGATAATAATAATAATAAAAAAAAAGCATCTTTGAGGTACCGAAGAACTTAAATTATTTATTTGCGGCAACCGGCTTGATTCTCGATATTTGAGGGCTTATCGGCAGTTTTTTTTTTTGCCCAAGCCTCACTGCATTCGAGGGCCGCATCTTTTCAGCAGGTCCCAGACATGCTGCAGATCTCTAATAGGAATTGGACGAGCCAAACAGAGTGGAGGTCGGATATAATAATGTGACAAAACCCATGCTTTAGATCTACTGTTTTGTTGCGTCGCTTAAACCTAAATTTGGGACTTCAAAGGTCTGCTGTTTGATTTTAAGCTTGAGAATGTCTGAGCGCGCGTTTCGTTCTTTGGAAAAGGTAACTGGTTAAAACTTTGGTGAAAATTTTTAACTGGTAACTGGTTAAAACTTTGGTGAAAAATTTTTAAAAATTATTTTATCTTTTGTCTAGTTCAAAAGGGAAGAAAGTGAATACCATTTTATAGCTTCATCAATTCCATGATCGACCCAAGAGGCGAATTCACATTAATGCTTTGCGTGCAACTGACATGTTTGTTATCCATTATCTCCCGCCATCAATAATATATTTTTGTTTTACACTGTTTTGATAAAATTATACTCATGATTCTGGTGTTTTTTTTTCTCTTATGAAAAGTTCAACTGAAAAAATTAGCATATACAGAATCTCGAGAGAGCAGAATTTTAGAAAAATTAACCTTTTAAAAGTTTTCACTTTATTTGTCCTAACCTTTTGTTTTCCATATTATTTTAGCGACGGAGGATCGTCGCGGGAAACCATTCACGCGGACTCCTACTTTTGATATTACCGACAGTTATTAAAGGTACGTTCGTAGTTAAATTTAGCTTTGAATTAAACACAATTGAAAGCCATCGAACAGTGTTTGTGTAGGTGTTAAGTCACTTTGTTTGCAGACGTTCTTTAATTAACATTCGAACGAGCCGATGTGACAACAAGGTTTAAAACGAATTCCGCGGAAATGAAACTTGGATAACCTGATAAGATTGGCTAGCACCTAATTGAGGACGAGGAACTTGGCTTGCTTTTTTTCGATTGATTAAGAAAAAGAAGAAAGGGAAAAGTTGTCAATCTCAATTTGTTCTTTCTACAGTACCTTGATGGATCAAAACTCGACGGCAGCAGCTGTAGAAGCTGGAAAATAAGATATTTTTATCATTGCTTTATTTTCCTTTTCTCTCTAGTTTGTTTTTAAGAGGTCTGGATTAAAACATGACAAGTGTTCCTCGAATTGTGAGCATTTTCTCCATATTTATTATGGCCATGACAACTTACATTCTGGCAGACAGTGAATGCCCGGATGACAGTAACACAACGCCCCGTGACTCAGAAGGATGCCCGATTGGAAACATAACGGTTGCAATGTTCCTTTCTCCTCCGTACCTTCTGGAGAAAGACGGAAGCGACAACGGAACTCAAGGAAATCCTTATGGCATTGTTTTCGACTACATTGACGATACTTTGTTGGAATGCTGCCATAATAAGACAGAATTCGTCACGACAAATGACGATATATTGAAATCTGACATAATCTTTCCTGTCAGTGAGAGCGATGAAACCAATCTAACTTTCTCAGGTGTTTCTTATACCTTCTATGATATCGTCAAGGTGGATGGTTTTGTGCTCATTGGCCTCATTGATCAGTACAACGCCAAAGCAAGAGGCTTGGTGTTGAGGTCTTTGTACGACTCTTGGCCAATTTTTGCGTTAACCTTTCTCCTCACTGGAATTGCCGGAATTTTCATCTGGGCGCTGGTAAGCTGAATCGTGACTTTTTACCTCTAACCACAGTAAACATTGGTTTATGTCTCGGTTGGGAACGTATTGATCCCCTTATATGGAAAGCCTCATCATAACCGACCACCCATTCTGCCATTCTGGTTGAACAGTCTTTCTGGTGGGGTGAGGTTGCTGCAAAGGACACGTGGCTTCAGTTTCGGTCCAAATTTTAACGTAAAGCTAGCAATTAGGACGCATACATTTTTTGTAGCAACTCGATGGTAGTTAAACTGAGAACCAAGTTTATCAAAAAGGTCAAAGTGTCCCGCATAACACCACACATAGCTCTTTCATAACCACTTTTACTCAACAAATGGCATGCGGTCTGAGGTTCAATTGCCACTCGGTTATACTGACTGCTAACTGCTACCATTGATGTCGAAATTAACATTCAGACAACAAGTATTTCAGCTTTGCACTCACTTATGCTGAGATATAGCTAGTAAATTTAAATACCCTCTTGGGTTATCAATAGGCGAGATTTGTCTCCATGCTTACTTTCCAGGAATACTACGTGAAAAACGAAGAATTTTCTTTGTCCTTTACAAGAGGTTCTTATGATGGATTTTGGTGGGCTTTCATCAGCATGACAACTGTTGGGTAGGAAATACCAAATAACCAATTATCTAGCCCTATTAGTATGTAAGGTAGCCATGTCTTTTGTAACAGAAGAGTAAAGGGGCTTTTTGTTGCACTCGTCAGACTTGTACCCAGTGATTTTGGTGCGCACACTCACGCGCCTCAAGGCTCCATTTCAGTTTAGGTACATTCTAAAATCATATGGAAAACGAGTCCATGATTAATAATTGATAATTTGAACTTGGGAAATACAGCTGGAATATGATAAGCACTTACAATTTGATTAAGGTAGATAAACCGCTATTGAACGAATTTTGAAAAAGCCTACTTTGTTAACTTTAGCCCTTCGAGAAAAAATTTGTTTCTAAAGAAACCAATCGACTCACTTTTCCATTTATCTGAGTCATGTTGAAATTTTTATTGACGAATGACTGATAACAAGGATAACATCGTTCATTTTCCAAGATACGGAGACAAAAGTCCAAGATCGTTTTTTGGTCGTTTGTTTGGTGTGTTCTGGATTCTCATTGGCTTAGTCGTAATCACCATGTTTACCGCTACTGTGACGTCAGCTCTCACTCACAGCTCCTCGCCGGACTTTATCAATGCACTGGAGGGGTTAAAGGTAAGCGGTGTTGAACAGTTACTTGTAATTTCTAGAAAGATTGAAGTGAACCGGTGGAAAAACCCGTTAGGACATTTCACTTGAATTTATGATATTTGCAACTTCTGTTATCAGTACAGACCGATCTTGCATGCACATTCTCTTTTCTTGACGATTTTAAAATACGACGATTTACTGGTATAGCAAGTGATTTCAATGAGCTTTTAATTAAAATATCATACCAGTCTGGTTGTTTTTTCTCTTTAGGTGGCCGTGCTTAATGGCAGTTTTGCTGAGGCCGAGGCAACCTACCTGGGAGCAATATCCAGTCGTGAGTATGGGTGCAGTTCCTGTGATTTTCACCATTTCATGTAATTGTCATGGGGTTAATTCACAGATATGCGCCCATCATGTATATATATTTTTAAGATTGCTGTATTTTAGGATTTTTCATAATCGCATGGCACAAAAAATCCAAACTTAACATTGGTATAAGGTAGAATAAATCCACTCAACTTGAATTTGGCGAAAGATGTGTTTTCGTCTTGGCTTAAGCATGGGACAAAAATTCGCCACTTTCAGTTACATCATCATTGTGCATAAGAATTCCTATCCAAGCAGTATGCAGGAAGTTAGTCACCACAGACCTAGTTAAACGGCAAAGTCTGCCATGTCTACCAAATCTGCTAGTTTCGATTCCTACAAGGAGCACTCTTAGTTCTTTTTCTCCCAGTATGCCTGTGTTATTCACTGAATAATACCCTCTTTCAAAAAATGCCATACTTCTTATGACGCTTTTGACATTGCTACTCCTGGTATTACGCTGGAAGTATGTCCCATATAACTTTCGAAAGGGCCTGGCTCATTGTGGATTCTTTGTGGCTCAGTGGTAGAGCATAATAGAGCGGAAACCAAAGGTCTCAGTTTCGATTCCTCGTGAAGGACTCAGAATTTCGTCTTTTTCCCACGCTCGTGAAAAGACGGACATACGTCTTTTGATATTTCTATACTGAGTTCAAAATTTACCTTCGTTCTCATTCTGTTAGCATAGAATTTAATGTTGAATTTATCACAAGATCCCCTAAAATGCATTTAACAACGCGACCTTCAAAAAAAAACACAGCTTTCCCTGATTAAAACGCGGATCGTAGCAATTTTCCTCTGATATTTCACTTAATCACGCATTGCCTTTCAGCGTACCCTGAATTTGAAGACATGCATGCTGCTATGGTTAGAGAAGAGGTAGAGGGCTTGTTCATGGAGAGACTCCAAGCTTACTACTTTTACAAAGATAAAAACGTCTACGATGGTGACAATTTGCGAGTGTTTCACACAGTCCCTTCAAAAATTTCGCACAAGATGGCCTTCAAACAAAACACAACATGCCAGTTAATTGAGAAGAACTACTGTTTCAAACGTCGCTTGGAGAATCCTTTAATCAGTTCGTACGTTAGGGATTATACAACACCGTTAAAGGTATTGGGTCATGTCACTTGCTTTTCTTAATCTTTTTACTCCTGATATTTCATTGGTAACTCTCCTTGTAGTCTGCCATACAATTTTTACGATATTAGTTCAGATAATTCGGCATCGAATCAAATAATGATCTCCTGATTGACATTTTTCCTTGTTCCAATCACTAGTCTGCTTCGAGCTTTATTTTAAAAAAAGTGGTTAGTAGAAATTCTGTTTTGGTCACTGATGGTCATGCCTTTGACGAAGAATTAGAAAGTTCTCCCCGCGGACAACGCTTGTCTGTAGAACATTGTTAGAAAACCATGGCTGTAGGTGGCGAGATCTGGTTGGATTATAGGACAGATTAAATTTTAGTCACTCACTATTTTCTTCAATGTCCACCTATTGTGTCTTTCAGGCTTTTAACCCATCGGTGGATACAGTTGGTCTTTTGTCAGGCAATTCAAAAGGAACAAGTACTTTGTTACTCAGCCTGATGGGTGTGTTCTTCGGTTTGTGTGTTCTCGGCGTCTCGGTAGAGTTGTTCTTATGGAAATCTGCAAGGCGGTGCACTAAGCCTGTTCCCTTTCGTAAGTATATCAGAAGTTCCATCTTGGTATCCTGGGCGTTTCTTAATTAATGTAATGGTGGCCGAAAAAAAAATCATTGCATTTGCTGACTTTGTATTTCTGCTTCATTCTTCTTAGAGACTAAACGTGAAAGAACGCCGTCTGATGTAAATTCATTTCACCTGAATACGGTTTTATTGCAACTTAGAGGCTTCGAGGAGAATCTGGAAAAGCTTTCCAACCAAATACAGACAATGAAAGAAAATCTGACAGGTGCAACAAGGAAGACGACCCAAGAAAACGTGAAGCTTACGGAATTCAACTAATTATTACTTCAGTGTAGTCAAGGCTCGATTATCCTGACTGGTGGGGACTGGGCTAAGCATTCCGGAAAATATGAATATTAATGATCCAAAAATAATTCTGAATACGTATAATTTAATTAATATGTTTGGCACATACGGATATCGATCATACTTAAGTCTGCCGGTCGCGTGATTCATGCTATGATATTTAAACCCTGACCTAAATAAAGGAAGTATTGTTTACCACTGGATTTTATAAAAAAAAATCTTACACCTGACGCAAAAAGAAACTCATGACATGCGTAGCAGTCAATAAAATAAAAAGTTAATTTTATTTCATTTTTATCGATCGACGAAAGGTTAACTGTCGATATACTGCCATCCCATCATGCAAGGCCGACCGAAGTAGCAATACCCCCAGCTGTTCCATGTTACGAAAAGTTATGTGAACGACTTTGGATACATGAAAATCATATATTTGAACTGTGGTTAATAAATGAAGACGAGAGTGATCTTCGCTGTAATAATAAACACTACTTTAGTAGTAGTGAAAATGAAGTCTGAAGTCTGGCTGACCTTTTCAGATTTATCTTCATGACTGTTTAATTAGTTTTCATTACGGCGAAGATCACTCGGATCTTTTAAAAGCGATATACCTCACAGAAATTATGGGTGACGATTAAAGACTTTTATGGACTTGAAAAATAACAAAAATCATAATAAACATGAACAGGTTTCTATTTTAGATACTAATGCCAATTGAGCATATATCCTAAAGCTGAAAAAGTTCTCGCAAATAAAGTAATTGGTCCTGGTGTTTGTAAAATACATTCAGTTGACTCTGCTAGGAATAATTGTTGTAAATAAGTATGGCTTGAAGACATTTGATTGGTTTATATGAAGCCTTCTGATAAAATTATGGAAATTAAGTAGTAAACGATAACGATATGATTATCACCATACGTCATTTGACATAAACAGCTTACATGGTTAAACATTTGAAAAAGTTACAATTTCGTGAAAGTAAGGTCATTTTTAGGTTCATACAATTTGAATTAAAGGAATGAAAAGTTAAAAAAAAAATTCTAAACAGTTTAAAGATGTGTTTTATGTGATCTTATTTACTTTGTTAAATATTTCATAATCAATTTACCGCCCTGGTGGAATTGTAGAAGAATTGTGGTATTGAATGACGTGCCGAATCTCATCCACTATTCTCTTCGTAGTTCCAAGGACATGCTTCCAAGATAAAGTAGCGTAATAAGTGTGGTAAGCATCTGAATTTTTTTACATTTTATATTTTAATAATGTACATGAAAAAATTACTCAGTTCTGATTGGTTAACATAAATGCAGTTTTAAGGTAATTCAGAGCAGAAGAGGGTTAATTTAGTGCAAAGAAAGTAATTAATCAGACATTCTGATTAGTCAATAATCAAAGAAACTCACAGACAGCCAATCAAATGCGAGCCTTAGACGTCGCAACAAAATTTGAAAATTTGAAAAATTGCGAGCGAAACAATGGTCGGCGTTTTAGGTAGGTTTTCTTTCGCCACCGCGGCTGAAAAAAAGCTCAAACAACAAAAACATTGTAAAAGGTACTGCTTTTTGGTTGTCGGTTTGGAGAGAGTGGTGTTTAGGGAAGGGAATTGCCAAGGAAATCGAAAATTGCGCATCGATCCAGCTTAACACTTTGCTCGAGCGATCCAACGCCGAAATTAAAAACAAACATGGTTAAACATCGAGAACGACGATTTCATTTCATCGAAACTGATTCGGACACAGACTCAACAATTCCTTGAACTGTTTAGGCGGACTTTGAACTTTTTTTGCGCCTTAAAGAGGTGAAGATATCATTGTATATTATTGTTTTGATGGTACACGGTTGTTTTGACCGAGCACACAATGTCAAAATTGCACGAGAAATCATGTGATTACCTAAACAAATTCCGGTAAATGGTTTGAACCCGGGGGTAGCATGTAATAGTGTAGTTTGATCGTCCGGGTGAGTGTAGTCCTGAGAAGGACTGTTGTCGGTAGTGGTGACTGACGTTTCGACAACCTGAGCGGAAGTCATCAGTCCGAGTCAAGGATACAAATTCCAATATACAGATCGTTGTTATGGAAAATAGGAAGTAACATTAGACGTCCCACCGGGTCAGCTGGCAAGCCAGTTTCTTTCCATCCTTGAAAAAACTGTCTTATCTTTCCTTAACAACTCAACCAGGACAAACAAGAGAATTGGCCATCACAACAAATATTCAATATCCGGTAGCGATCATCTCATGCTCTGTCTCTCTGTCTCTTGTGACAGCTTCTCGGCTTCTATAACACAGTAATGCATCTTTTACTGCTTTCCTGTATTTGGGATGTCTCCATGCGTAAATATAAGCATCTAGGGCAACCTTAAAGAACATGATCACGTCGCTCACACGAAGAGCAATGCTGATCTTGAGCAGAAAGTCCCACGACATAGGCTTGGTATAGAGGTAAATGTAAAATGAGACGATGTGTGGAAAGGAACACAAAAGTAGCAGGGCAGATAACATGAGCGCCACAACCGTTAGTTGCTTCTGATGTTTTGCTTCGTTCTTACTGCCTTGTGCCCCTTCTGAGCACTGATGCATGGATCGACTCAAAGAACTTCGCTCGCGGAACGCCTTAGACCTTTGGGAAAACCTTCGGAATGATCTGTACAGGAAAATGTGCGCCACAGTCAGTAGGACGCCAACAACAGTTGGGTGAAGGTGAAGATTTATCCTCAAATAGGTATCTGTTGGGATTTTCGTATACTGCAAGGAGCTGAAGATGGCGAAATAGACAAAATGACAACACACTGCAACAAGAACCCGCCTCTTGGTGAATAGCACCTTGTATCTATGAGGGAAGGTGATGGCAATGTATTGGGTTGTAGTTAAAGCCAGGACCAGAAAAAACGAAGAGCTTAGCATTATAACGGACAGGAATGCGCTTGTAGTGAACAGGTATTCAAATTGCTTGCCTGGACGGAACGTTTGGTAGAAATGGCAAGCGAAGTAGTAGACGGCGAAGAGAGGCTCAACAATCAGACCTGTCACGAGGTCAACAAGTGCCAAACTTATAATAAAGTAAGTGACTGGTGTCCGAAAGGATTTAAAAGGATCTCTGTAGATTGCCATCAAGAGGAGAGTATTGCTAACCACTGTGATAGGGGAGAAGAGTGAGAGAAGGAAAGCTGACACGTATAGTGTGGTGAGATAGGGCTTGTAGTCCAGGTCTTCCAGCGATGAATTGGCTACCGTGATATTTGCCATTTATTTTCAACAGTGTCTGTTTTCAGTTTCAATCCTCGTTATGTATGGAGTAAAGATTATCAGTCACAGATCTAGCGTCATCAAATTCTGGTTGCCCAAATATTTGAATGCTTGTCTCACATCAATGTGTGACCAACCTGATAAAAAACAAATAATAATAATATAGACAAAAAAACAAAGAATGTATAATGACTGAAGAATCCTAATATACATTTTTCTTGCCGGTTGGAATTGAAATATTCCATTGACACATAATGATCCCTAGCTGTGGTTTGCTGTTCTCAGGCAAAAAGCAAACGCTGGGCCATAGTCATCAGTGGGCTTACAGACTATTGCTAATCAGTTATATATTTATAAAAATACCTTTTCTGTCTTGGCTCTCTTGGCAATGAAAATTGCAAATTTGAAAGCCACTCTCATAATTTATGAAAAGTCAAACATCATCTGATTTACTTCCAGAGGGTCATATTTACTTCACGATTTTAGTCAAAGCTTGGTGTTACCGATTACAAAAGAAATCCGATTCTCTATCAAGGATATGTTTGGAGAACTCAGAACGATTTGTAGCTTAAATATGAAATTATCGTCATAAACATATTTCCTCTACAGGTCTGTCGTCAACCGGCCTCCTTATACTATGGCTCTCTGTATTTCCGCACACCTGCACTGAGTGGTAGGAAAAGCGCACGTGTCACTTCCAGTGAAGTAATTGAATAGCTCGAATGATTGAGATAATATAAAGCTGATGTAATTAGTTTCAAACGTAAATGTATTTCATTTAAATTATTTGATAAGAGTAGAAGCATCAAGAAAATAAAAACACTAGAATCATTGAAGAAGAAACAAAAAAATTCAGACGGTAAAAATAAGTAAATGAATGCACATTTCATAGTGCGATATGATTTTCTTAGATTTAGCCAGTAAAATTCCCAGGATTGATTTTAGCAAAAGATACAAAATTTCCAATTTGACCTTGGAGATAGCTCAATGCACAGAACAAAATATATACAAATACAAACTACAAAGGAATGGACAAAAACGAAAGATGGTTCCATCTATAGAGCTTAGAGATGCACACCATGGCCGGATTGGTCAAGTAGAAAAAAAACTCTTTTGTGGAGAGATAGATACATGTAGTAATGGTTTAACTTAAGTAAGGGCTTTACGAGAGAAGTTCAGTCGTGACTTTTAGCCGTAAATTAAATGCAACGACTTATTAAAAAGAAAAATTATCGAAAATAAAAAAAATTAACAAACTGATCAATTGCAGATAAAAAGAGGCCTAGCAATACTATGATACCCTTTTTAAAAGTATCCTAATAATCTTGGAAGTCTAACGCGTCTGAGTTGAACTTAGAATCCACTTTCGTTATATCTTGTTAAAACATATATTCATGACAAGAATTTCCCGTTGTGCAGTTTTCGTGCAGTAGGTAAATTATTAGGCGTCCTATTAAAATGTCAGAAAGTTTGCCAACGGAAAGTAATACTGATAATCGTTTCTGTTTTCTCAGGTTTAATTTACTCAGTTAACATCATGCAAATCTTTGACAAATGTTGATAATATTGATTTTAAGATAAGCACGCAACCCTGAAACGTGCAAACGAAAGCATGGTGCATCCGCTGCCGATTTTTATTTTTCTTTTTACTTTTTTTTCTTTGCACTAATTTATGTGTGTTTAATTATTGCAACCGGGCAAAAGTTGTACCTTAAAGTTAAAAGATTTCTCTTTAAATGACAGAAACAAGGTACTAATACAGGGCGTGATCACAGCACGCGCATATATTATGACGTTGCAGATGTGGGAAAGGCAGTGGGGTTAATTACAAAATGATGAAACGGCTAAAAGTCGTAATATTATAGATTTGATTTTCAAAACAAAGTTTTATCCTACAGAAACACTCCATGGCAAATATTGCATAAACTCCCAAAAAACTAAAACTTAGATTTAGCGAAGATCTTGCGGAATTAAAAGTAGCATGGCTTACTACACATATATAGTATCTTAGGTTTTTCATGAGTCATCTAATGATTCTGCGAATACCACAAAAATATTGAAAACTAGAGCTACACTACTTCTTTTGTCTTCCTTCTAATAAAATGCAAAATCAATCATGATTTAAGGAAACACCTTGGCAAGTTATTGTTAATGATCGTAAAACAAATATTAATCCAATCTACTTTCGGTTAACAGTGACTTATGCCACGAACTAAAAACGAAAGTATCACCTGTTGTATAAAAAAATAACCTTTGAATCTCCACTTTTATGGTAAATGTACGATGTAGTAATTCCTACTCCAATCATGCTCGATCCTAGCCATTTATTTTTTTTGAAGTAAAAAGGAGGGTATTAATTAAAAAGCATAGTTGATCGAAAATCTTGTCCACATACAATAGGAGCGAAAGAAGAATTTCAAAAAGAAGAATTTCAAAAAGAAGGAATATCCATTGTCAAATGACAGTAGATACATAAAAAACACCATGTGTTGATCGCTTCAGTTCTTAAGGAAGACGGTAATTGAGATTTCCAATCACTTTTGTGCTTTTTAAAAGCCTTACCTTTCCTCGAGCCAATTTTGAGCCAATGACTGATGTGATTTTCAATATGAATGATTCCAAATTCGATTTCCCTAAGTTCTTTAAAGCCTGATGCAGTTTGAATTGTCAACACCTTGGGAGAAATTAATCAAAATAAGTTCAAAAATTCAGTTCCGCCAGCCTTCAGAGAAGAGGAAATAAAAAGAGTAATTGACTGTAATAATGTATTCTAAATTAATTAAGTTTGCCTTTAATGTGATCTCTACTTATCAAATGATCTTTTCTTAAAAATGGACTTCCGCCTTTTAATGTCCAAAGTAAAACATCTTCTTGCTCTTTTTTTGCTAGTGAAAGGATTGGTTAGAAATGTTTGTAGATTTTCACTTCTGATATCACCGAAAAATAACAATTAGATCCGTCGATGTGCCTACGGGAAAGAATCAAAGTAAAGAGTATGCCGAAACCTTTCCTTGGTGTGCAACAATATTGAGTAAGTCATACTTGTGAATTGGTCAAGTTGGTAAATAAGCTTTTTTGACCGTGATTGTTTTGAGGAGCAAAGCATTTTCTCAGTTACTAATAACAGCAAAAATTTGCCGAGTAAATATAAAGTGTAAATTTGTGAGGTTTAGCAAACAAGATAGGAATATATGAATTAACCTTCTAGCTGTCGTTTATTATAATTTCTAACCTACGTGCTCGCCTAGTCATAAATTAAATAAATAGCTTGCGAGTGTACTGAGGTCGACCTGAAGATGGTTTTTAGTTTGATCGAAAATTTAAAACTTGAGGATTTATTATATCCAATAAATACTTTAAAGGTTCTTCTTAAAGATTATAATTCCTCTGCTTTTTAAAAAGAGGAAATTGATCGGATTCAGAATTGTTCGGTTGTACTTTTTTCCCCCGATAGAATAGTTTTTATTAATGTTGACAATTAGACCATAGTTTTTGCTATGGCAAGACAGAATATATCTTGTAAATATGGTATACTAAGACAATAAGTTTTCTCTACAGAGATTAGAAATTCCAAAACATTTCAAACGTTTGAGTGATTTTCCACTAACAAGAGGAGCAAAACTACATTTGTGTAGTGCACTTATGTCATCGTATGAGGTTTGCTTCTGACCTCACATTTAAGTGCTCTGTTGCTTGAATATTGAATGTTTTCTTATAGTTAAGTGCTCATACGAAATTCAGAACCAGACAATATGCTCTATATTGATCAGTTAGTGAAGAGGATGGAATTTACTAAACCAAGATATATATGTTCGAAAGTAGTTAAATGATGTTTTTTTTTTCTTTTCTCAAATCCGAACCTCCATGTTTTTTAGACTTGGGGATGATCACAACTAAGAATTTTTGTATTTTTCTTTCTCACAAAGTAATCACAAAAAGGTAGCTTTTCAGTGAATCACAATGAAGCCGAACACTCAAAAGTCATACAGAATGGGATGCGGGTACCTATATGTCTTTCATTTCTTTTGAAAACAAGTCTACACATCTTAAAACAGATTGAAGTGTCTCAATAGATGAGATTCTATTATGATACTTACATTGCAGTCCACAGCCACTATAGATAACGTCTGAGATCTCTTTGTTTTACAAGAGGCTTCGAATTAAATCTGAAAACTGACTCAGAGGAGTGTTTCTCGATAGCTTATTATAGTTGCAGGGCTTTCTTAAGGATGCTAATCTACGTTGCTGGCTTCTAAATAATTTCTTTTGAAATATCAACTGACTGAGGTTATTTATTCTACCACCAAGATTGAGAGAGGAATTCGGTTAAAAATGTAATTATCAGGAGAAAGAGATCATAATTCTAAAAATTAAGCTTGGTTATTAAGGTCTTTGATTTACCCCTGACGTTGCGTGTGATAATTGGCAGAAGTCTGAGAAGAAATAGATTTCAATAACATTTATGTTCCCCCCTGTTTTGGAAAAATTATACTACGAACTTCAACAAAGGAATATACACACTGAATAAAGTATTGGAAATTGTGGTAAATTACTCCAAATTAGCAAAAGGAAAAGAAATAAAGAAATTTAATATTTTTTTCATTACAATGATGCGTAATGTTCACAAAGCAAAGTTTCTGACTCCCAGATCGGTTTTGTCACTCATGTTTGTTTGTTTATTTGTATGTAATTAATTATTTAATCACAAAAAGAGATTTAAAACGTGAAGATGTGCCTAAGTTTTTTTGTTTGAGTCTGTATCCAATATATATATATATATATATATAACTAACTGCAGACAGTACTGTTTCGGCCTTCTAGGCCTCATCAGTGCAGTGCTGATGCTAGGATGGAGGTAAGACCATATAGCCACCCCAAGTGATCTCACATATGTGGGATCATCTAAGCCATGCCAGAGTGCTCAAACTAGAAAAACTAGTGAGCATGCATAATGCTAGCAGCAATGACTCATCCTAGTAGAGTGCTCAATTTGTACATGAAAGCAAAGCTTTGTATGCCAAAGAGCTATATCTAACTGCAGACAGTACTGTATATATATATATATATATTACCTTGTCCGTATTAAGACAAAGAAAAAGGCCAAAAAATTGCGTTTTATATTTTTTTGAGACCTCAGGGATTTGTCTAAGCTGTTGACAACTTTTAAGTATCAACATGTTTGGAATTTGCATATCAAGGACCTCATAGCTTTTGCAGGTCGGGGTATGAATGAGAAAATATATTGAAATATATGACACCTAACATATAGTTTTCATAGGCAAATCCTTAAGATTTCAAGGTCAAGATTGTTTTCATACTCTACTAATACAAAACTTGAGACAATTGAAAACTTTTTATCGCTAATGCGCTCCGGGTCAATACCAACAATTTCGTAAGGCTTTTAATTAGTTTACTCCACAGGGGTCTTAGAGGGTAAAATCTAGGGAAACCGTATGCAAATTCAGAATCATCACACAATTTCGCAGAGATTCCAACTTGCATCAGAGAGAAGTTCTTTACACGTTTGTTCAACAATTTTGAACTGTATACTTTCGCTCAAGTCTGACTTTATTCTTTGCAATTCAATATCACACGTTCTTCTCTATGAACTCTCCAACTTACAGAAGATGCTACATAATTAGCTATGGAAACCACGTCCGGATACGTAATCCGGTGTGGGATACACTTGCTTACGTTTCACAACGATTCTCTGGCACTATTTTCCTTTTAAACGTGGGTCTATTTGACAATCGTGTAGCTAATCCCTCTGCGGTTAATTTCCTTGATTAAATTCAAAGCATCCTGTCACATTCAATAAATTTCTTTTAATGGTAATGAAATTACGGTTCACTTAAAAACAACTGAAATATGACACAAAAAGGACCCTCATTTTGAGAATAGAAACGTTCCACAACGCAATGGAGGATTTTAAGTTACCATGCCCTTATCAGAAATGCCTAAAGACTATTAACCGGGTGATTGTCAAAGAATTGGGTCCTTGAAAGAATAAGGATATTTCGGATGCTTCGCAAAACTTCTTGCATGTCTCCATTCCGGCGCCAAGAATATTACCTCTTTAAAGGTTAAAATAAAAGTTTTACACATAAAAATATATCCAGTGTGGATTTTATGCATTATCAACTCAAAGGTTTTTGAAAAAGAAAACCAACTGTAT